GTACCAAAACTGCTGAAAGATTTTCGAATGGCTAGAAAAACTAACCTATCCGACTCTAACTGAATCAAATGCTCAGCCATTTCCTTTGGAGAAGAGTAGTCATCCATTGCGATAAATGAGTGCGGCGGAGCCCTGAAACAAAAAAATTTTAGGTGGTAGAAATAAAAATGACAGATTCAGGGTGACATTTCGCGCTGGTCGAATGGGTGCGGTCCGCTGGACGAGTGGCCCTTCTCGCTGATGGACTCTTTCATTTGAAGACAGAGGGCAATGGCAAGATGAGGGTAACGGGAACAGAAGAAATAGCACTAGCGAAGAAAATAACGGGAAATACACTGAACGATTCGTAGACTTCTTCGGCAGTGTATCGCCGATACCCAGCGATTTGTCTCATGCCGCAAATTAGCGGAGTGTTTCCTAGCTAGTTGACTTGACAACCTCCGGCACTGCCATGTTGAATTAAGTGGGTACACATGCGAGTGACACTATCTGCAACGCCCACGCCTGGCCTTGGATGCACTAAACTACCGCCTGTCATTACTTCTTCGTATACTGCGCCTACGTGATGCCAAAGAGCACTTGCGCACCAGTTAGGAAAGTGCAATGGTCCAAGCGAATAAAGCCATGCGAATAGCCGGAATATGCCACCAAAATTTCATACATTGAAACTAACTAACACTGCTTCGTAAACCTTCCTTCTCATCACTATTGGGATGCTCGGCACGTAGAGTTTATCCCAGTACTTCTCCGTGATATAGTCCTTACAAACCTGGAAATTTGAAGTTGTTCAACTGCAATAGTATTTCGTAAAAAAAACAAAAACTTAGTAAGGTATCGAAACAATTTTGCCTATAGATAATAGGATCTTATGAAATAAGAATCACTGATTGTTGGAGAGCAATAACTACATTTCACAGGACAACTGCCTGAAGATGTCTTTGGTGTTTAACACAGTGCAATCCTTTTTTTTCAAAATTGTTCTTTCTAAATGTTCCCAACTTCCTACCCTTTTCTTCGGAGCGGAGGTACTTTCGTCGAACGGGGATGGGCGGGGGTGGGGAATGGGGGAAAGGAAGGGTACATAGTGTACTCGAAACATGAAAAAGGAACGGAAAAATCAGCTGCATTTTTTACAGTCACGATCCCTGCAAACGATAGGCGGTGTGAAGGGGTGCAGTTGGAACGGCAGCCAGAAAAGCCTTTCCTGCCAACTGTTGCAGAGTCAGGGTAGCATCAACAGGCCATCTTGGCAGCGCTCCAATCCACGGCCCGTCGCGCGCTTTCGTTTGCAGGGGTCAGGAATGTATTCAATTAGCTGTTCACTCAGTTGTTAGTTACTCCATTGAACGATCATATGTATGCTATATACTGAAATATCGAGGACGCTTCCTGGAAATTTTGAATACTACTAGTCTGTAAGTGGGTTTGCCTTCGGTGATCAGCGCATGTCCTGCCGTTGGGGAAAATTGTTACAAAATACACCCTACCTTCCCTTAAAAACCTCCTCTGATACGCCTCCCGTCCACGATCTTACCAACCAACTTCCTGAACGTTCCCGACGTCCTACTATTTCTTCAGAGTTTTTTTCTTAAAACTGTTCAGCTTTTCCAGCAGAAAAAGTACTCCAGTCAAAGGTGCGGGGAGGGCGGGGGATGTTTACGTAAATACACGAAGGGTAGCCGTGTAATTGCACACCGCAAGCGATTACCGTAACCCCAAAACTGTTTGCATTCGCCCATGGAGTGCAAATGAGGTGTTAGCTGGCACTACGGTAGGCAAATAATGACCAACATAGTGTACCTTAAATATTAAATGGATCCTACGCTATAATCGCTTCCAAGAAACCACTTCATGCTTCTTCTGCCTTTGTAAAAACGGCGAAGTTTTGCGGTTTTCACTCGGCAGCTACGCACTAAATGAGTAAAAGAGATTGTTTTAAACATAGTTGTTTCTGATCAACCGTTCACTGAATTCGTAGGGTTATCCTACCCTTGTCTTTCACCACCTGTATCGTTGCGCATTGTGTTTGTTCTTGGAGGGTTATACATGACTTTCATTGCAATCCATTTTGTATATTGAACTGAAGAAGGCATTTGAATTTTCCTCCGCTACTATGAGTATCAAGAGCTTGGAAACAGACACTACAGTATACACGGACCTTCCTCATCTTGCGAGGTCTCGATTTCCTCTGTGGTTCTCAGTTTGGATGCGATTTTCCTTTTGTAATGCGGGGTCTGATTCATGGCCAAACGTTCTTTCCACGCGGCTATAAAATCTTTCTGGTCCCGTGAAGGTAAGATCACTACCTGCAGACAACCATTCGAGGGTGCTGCTTTGCTTCTTGCGCTTCGAAAGGAAGCCCCAACTTGTCGTTCGAGCGAAAGGCAGCGTCAGCGGCTAGGGATCAAGATCTCAATGTAGCGAACGCCCGTGTCCACCGCCGTCTAGTCTAGGAGTCATGAATAGGGATATTTGAAGAGACATCATGAATGCGTCGTGCAGCGACCGCATCGCGTATCACTGCCAAAGCTTAGATTAAGCTGGCTTGATGTAAGGTGTAGGGCAGCTTTGAGGTGCCGTAGCACTCAGCGCAATATCGGATGCCCAACCAGCTGTGCTAACCTCCTGCCATAATCTCCACTCTTGGACCCTCTTGCGCGCTGGAGTTCGCCACTTCAAAGATAGCTAGTGTTCGCTGGCCACGTTGATGGAGCTAATGGTCCCTGGTGATTGATAATGGTAATGTGATTTCTATGTTGATGCGAATCGAACATACGCTGGAGACCGTATCTTTAACACGAAATCGAAGACGGAACTCCAACTTCGAAAACTGGGCAGTAAAGGATAAATTGCCCCAAAAATTGCAGAGTGGCGAGAAGCATTGGTCATTTTTCGATCTACTCCCGAAATCCTGTACATCTTCAAACTGATGCGATTAATTCCTTTCATCAATACTACAATTCTTTTTTCTTCAATTCGTCAATTCTTCTGATAAAAGACGGGAGAGCCGTACCAGTTACCAAAGTAGAAGTAGTACGGAATGTTTAACTACGGAATGTTTCCTTGAAAGCTATCTTGATAAAGAACCCCTTAATACACGTAATGACCAACCTATCGCACACCACATTGTCACCTAAGCCACTAAGTGTAGGACCGGAATTTTTCGAAAAACTACAGTAGTAGCTTCGTTACGGGACCAGCTACCGTACTCCCGGCACATTATAAGGCATTTCGAGCTGGCCTAATTTTGAGTGCGCGTTGTTCTGGACCGAAGAGTTTTTAATCGAGTTATAATCAATTGGTGGATGGAAATTATTGACTACAAAATGTTTTTTGTGTTGTTAAGACCTCGCTGCCGAATATAAACGCGCAGGCCAAATTTGTACGAGACCAGCTTGGGGTGTGGCACTTCATCAGAAGCTTATCAGCTTAAGCTTACGACATACGAGGAAATCTGTGGTTTTGGCCCGCCGCTTCCGAAACCGTAGACATTTCCAACTGACGGTGTTGACTGGTCCACTAAAATTTGACGATGCAGTCCTACATAGGGTTCTCAGTTTGTCATGGGGTCGAGCAGTTCCTAGCTTGTTGCTTCGAAAACTAGATTAACTCCTGAAAAAAGTAAAAGTACACGGTTACATCACCGTTAATATCGCAAGGAAACAGAAGAAACCGTAAAATGCTCGTATCTGAAAGCATTTACTGCGCTCCTTGTCAGGGCCGGGCTCTTGTTTAATAAGACTATTAGCCACTTCTGACACCCACCCGCATTTTTAAAGTACCTTCGATCCTGAACCATCCCAAAAGTTCCTTTCCTGTAGCATGTAGGATTGATATGCTAACTTAACAGACATTGTGAAACTGACCCTACTAAGCGGCAGAAAGTCTGTTTGAATCCATAATGATCCCCTACTTGACAAATGTGTACCTTATATTCTCTCTGGAACGAAATCAGAGCATGCAAATTTAGGCCAGCTTGGGACGGCCGCAATGTGCCACAAGAGTACGGTAGCTGGTCCCGCAACGAAGCTACTACTGTAGTTTTTCGAAAAATTCCGGTCCTACACTTAGTGGCTTATAATCGTTGC